GAGGAGGTTGGGGAAATGTCAGCTGTGGAATGTAAACAGAGTGCTTCTCGGCTCTCCTCCCTGGGCACTGAGGCTGTGGGTACGGCCAGAGCTGAGCTCCCGAGAGAGTCCAGTCTTACATGGGTTGTGGGGGGACGGGCACCCTGTGATCCCGTGCGAGCGGGACATGAACCCTGGGTGGGGCGCTGTTGGGGTGGGACGGGGCTGGTGAGCGTCTGGGAAGAGTCTCTTGCTGCAAATCTGGATCCTCTGGGGAAACGGCCACAGGCTGCTGGAGGGCTGGGGGCTAGGGCTGCCGAGGGGCATGGCTAGGTCAGGGAAAGGTCAAGGTCAGGTCACCCTTGACCATCTCAGGCAGCCACGTTCTTCCGTCACTGGGAGGTGGAGGGGCTGGGAAAGGGCACCCACCGTCTTGCCCACCGACACCCGACTCTGCCCGTTCAGTCCATGGGCAAGTCCAGTTGGGCAGCCCCTGGCCCGGGGCCCCTCACGCTCCTGTGGGCCAGGGGAGGCGCCGGACGGCAGAGTGACCCTGTCCCTCTCTCAGTCCCCGACAGCCTCATCCTGAAGGTGCTGAACCAGCGCCTGAGCCAGCACGACTGCGTGCACCGAGGGTGGGTGCTGCACGGCTTCCCGCGGGACCTGGACCAGGCGCGCCTGCTGGACAGCGTGGGCCACAAGCCCAACAGGTGAGCGGCCGGCCGGTCCCTCAGCCCCCAGTTCCCAGGCCTTCCCGGCTCCCGCAGCGCAGGGCCTCTCCCCACCGCCCACCCCCTGCGGGAGAGACCCGGGTGTTCCTTCCCAAGCACCGGGCGGAGGGGGGAGACCCTGGGATTCGGGCGGAAGGAAGCCCCTTCCTGAGCTGCAGCCCGTGGTGCCCGTTAATTTCCCGACCCTCAGCGAGGGCGGTCCCGCGCGATTGAACCTCCGTGTTTCTCTCCCACCACCGAGGGGCCTGTCCCCTCCTCCCGCCTCATCTCTGCGATTCCGCTCCCCCGGCTCTGCTCTTAGTTAAACATATTCATGGTTAATTCAGGAAGTGATGTCAGTCCCGATAAAGGCCGAGGAAGAGAGAGGCCCTCGGAAGCGAGCCCCCCCCCGCGCCCCCCCCCCCAGCCCTGGGCGGACGCAGGGCGGGAATCGGGCTGCGCGGGTGAGAGCACGCGAGCTGTCGGACTGGGTGGTGGGGAGGGAATCTCGACAGAATTACAGCCAGAAATCAACCTGGGCCCACAGCCCGGAGATCTATCATCCAGATGGGAAAACCGTCTACCAAGGCTCTTTTTTAGGAGGGTTCGATGAAATGAGATGGAAGTAAATTTACATATATATCAATTTTATTATTAAAATATATTCACTCTAGTAAATAGAATTATTGGGAAGGGCAAGCTGTTCCGTGTATTGGACACAGAAAGGGACCCCTTTGGCTTATCAGGAAACAAAGTTATTGTCTCCTTGTCAAATATAAATCTCCTCCGAGAGCAATGAAGGGGTGGTGTTCAAATGCCATGTTTTGTTGGCTCCCGCCTCGCGCCCCCGGCGCATCGCACTGAATTACGTCCCCGCACCACGAGGGAGATGAGCCGAGTAATTGATGTGTCAAAAAGGAGGAGGAAAAGTTATTTGAGAACAAATACAATGGGCTATAAAGTTTGTTAAAATGTAATAATAATAGTAAAAATATAAAAATAAAATGAAAAAGGAAGAAGAGGAAAGAAACAAAGGACGATGCCAGGCGCCTCGGGCTGCAGAGCCTCCATTTCGAGCCGCAACTTCGTAGCAGGTGTTGCCTTTGCAGATGAACGTTTGCTGGCGAAGGGAGCAGCTCTGGCTGCGGGTGGGAAGCGGGCCACGTATCAGACTCCCTTTCCCGCCTCTGCGGGCAGCCGTGGCCTTGACCCTGCTCCTGGAGGGCAAGGCCTGGGTGGCGTCCACAGCTCAGGCCCCGTTAGAGCTGCTGCCGCGGCTCAGAGACCCCAGGGGAGGAGCCGGGCCCAGCTGAGCGGGTGGCAGTGGGCTCAGCAGCTGGTGGCAGGACTGGATGAGCGTGGCCTGCACCGCCCCCCTCTGTTCCACTGGGCTAAGTGGGGGACTGGGAAGAAGTCACCCCAGGCCGCTGGTCTGGAGGAGCTGGTGTGTGTCCCAGGCGGCTTTGTGCACGTTGGAAACTGCGGTGTGGCCAGTGTTTTTGTTTTTATTTCTTATGTTATTTTTTAGACGAAAGGAGCTGTGTGCCCCACTCCCAGAGGAGCCCGAGCGAGGGGCGGGGCTGCCCTGGGGAAGCAGGGACAGCAGGGACAGGCGTCCTCGCACTTGGCTCCCAGTTGTGCCGGGTGTGCGGTCGGCTTTTGCTAAAGCTCCCTTTCCTCCAGGGAGCCGGGGGGAGGGGCCATGAGGGGACCCAGGCGGCCCCTGCGGTCAGTGGGCCTGGGAGCTGGTCAGAGTTCTGGGGGGATGGGGGGGCTTCAGACAAGCCCCGGCGGTCGCGCAGGCTGCTCCGGTGCAACATCAGACAAGCCCCGGCGGTCGCGCAGGCTGCTCCGGTGCAACAAGAACACCTTCCTCCCCTCACTGACCGTCCGGCCCGCCCAGTCCCAGGTGTGTCTGGGGGCACCGCCTCCCCTCCGGCCCGACTTCCATCTTTAACCATCCTCCTCCCCCTCCTCCTCCTCCTCCTCCTCCTCCTCCCTGCCGGGGTGTGTGCCCCTCAGCGCCCGAGTCAGGTCTCCCTTCATCCGCTCCAGACCCTGAGAAGGGGGTTTGCTCAGGACAGTGCCCGGAGCCGCCAGGGAGAGCCCAGCCCCGCGCCGTTCTTGGCCGTTACTTTGACCCCTTCCGCTGGCCAGCGCTTCACTCTGACCCTGTCCCCGGCTGGTTGTCGGTGGCCTCTGATCTTTGCCCGGACAGCCCTCTGGCTGTGCAGAGTGAAGGGGTCCGTGTGAGGGATTCATAACCCGAAAGCGCTGTGAGCGGCTCCTGCCGGCGGCGCTCCCGCCCGTGTGTCCGGTGCGCCTGCCTCCGCGCCTGTTTGCACCGTCACTCACTCGCCCCGCTGCCGGTTTGTTTGCCTGTTTTTGCAGTGGTCGCCGTGCGGTTCTGAACTCCTGTTACTGAAATGGCAGATGCAGTCCTGCTCTGGTGGGGCGGCCGCGGGCAGTACCGGCCACGTCTGCTCCGTGCGGGTGGGTTCGAATACCTGACCGCTGCCTCGGGGTGTTTTTCTCTGACGGCCGTCTGCTCGCGTTTCTTGCCTTTGGACGACATGCAGACCCCGGGTTGCACTGGGGAGGGAGTTCCTTATTCGCCTGACAGCACGTGGGTAGGGGAGCGGCCGAGAAATCGCCATCGGGGCACATAACCACGGGGACCCATGTGCCGAGAGCGCGGTGTGATGCTCCGGGCGACCACGCTACGCGCCAGCAGTGGGGCCTGTGGGACGCGGCACAGGTGAACACGGCTGACGTGCCCGAGCGCTCTGATTGGGTCACATGCTGTTACTCTTTAAAAAATACATGTTTTCATTGATTTCAGCGAGAAAGGGGGGGGGGAGAGAAACATCCATGATGAGAGAGAGCCATTGATCAGCTGCCTCCTGCACGCCTCACACCGGGGATTGAGCCCGCAACCCGGCCACGTGCCCTTGACCGGGAACCGAACCCTGATCGGCTGGTTCCTAGGTCGATGCTCCACCACGGAGCCACGCCGGCCGGGCCGTGCTTGTTGCTTTTTAGTTCCCCAGGACACTGTTCTCAGGGACCACACAGTAGCCCCCTTGGGTAGCGGCCCTGCCACCTCTAACGTCTAAACATCATGTCTAAAGAGCACAGCAGAGGGATGGACCAAAGAAAAATTAAAATGCAAACGAGAGAGGGTGTCTTGCGGCTCTCTCTCTCTCTCTCTCTCTCTCTCTCTCTCTCTCATCACCACGCGGTCCGCCCATTCTGCCACGGACCCTCCCGTGGATTAGGGGTAATAAACAGCCTGTTAATGGAGCCTGAACTAGGAGATGGAGTTGGACTCAGCCGCGGCATCAGTGCTGACTGAGGTTAATAACTCCATTACTGCAGCTCCGCGCGGAGCCGCCGGGCGCGCGGGGCGTTAGCCTTATCTCCTCCTCATTAATTGAGCTAATAGAACCCCGGTGACCCCGCCGCCGCCGGAGAGCGTACCAGACATGGGCTGGAATACTTATCACCACCCTGGGCTCCGCGGCGCCTTTGTTTTGGGAAGAGGCTCTTTCTTGAAGACGGGTTCCCCGCAGACCCTCGCCATCGGTGGAGTTGCCGAGCCGCTGCCGCACAGGGTCCCGAGGTCACCCTGACCTTGTGCAGGAGAACGTGCAGCGAGGGCCGGCCGGCCACTGGCCCCACAGGCGGAGGCCCACGTGGGTGCAGCACTTTAGCTCGGACTGAACGCTCTGCAGGAAGCGGCCGTGGCCTCAGCAAGTGTCTGGGTGCAGGGTGCCGATGGAGCGTGGCCGTGCTGATGGGGGGACAGGGGGGTGGGGGGGGGACGGGGCGGACCGCGGGCCTCTCCCCGCTTCAGCATTTGGCAGCCACCTCTCAGCCGGCCCTCCCGCCCCTGAGTTTCACGACAGCTCATGCATGTGCATGACCATTTGCTTTGCTGCTCACTGGGTAAGCGCTACTTAACCTCTCTGAGCCTCAGTTTCCTTAACCCTCAAATGCTTGCCCCACCTTCTGCCCTCACCCTTTGCTGGGTGCCCACGTCCATTTGCTGGGAGGATGTGCATGAGCAGGACGGGTGAAGGGGGAAATGCTCTATGTGACCGAGATAATGTCATCGACAGTTAAAACTTGGAACCCAGATTTCCTGCTGCAGGTCACGTGCCTCTCTGTGCCTCAGTTTCCCCAGCTGGACTACAGAGGAATTCCATGAGGGATG